CGCAGGCAACAGACGCACCCTGCCCATGCGCAGAAGCGTCAGCTGTACATTGTTGAGACCTGGTCCTTCCATCCTCAAGGATACCACACTCATCATCACGTTGGTGGTGCCCGCACACACACACACACACACACACACACACACACACACACACATCTGTACAGCACGAGAGCTCGATGCTGCACATTCGTCGGCCCCTCAATGCTGATTCCCTGACAACACCGCCACGCGCCCCAGCCTACGCCCGCACACAGATCAACTCCGTACGTGTGTTGATTATGTGTGTGTGTGTGTGTGTTTGTGTGTGTATGTGTGTGTGTGTCTGTGTGTGTCTGTGTGTCTGTGTGTGTCTGTGTGTGTGTGTGTGTGTGGTTATTTGTGTATGCGCATGTCTGAGTTGTGCCGACTAACTGGCACGCTCTTGATGCCTGTCTCACGCCTTTTTTCCTTTCGTGCTCTGTTTGTCGTCCTCAGGATGAGGAAGAAGCGCTGCATGTGTAAGATCGCGCACACGTGCTTGCACCTGCTGTTGTTGCTCCACACACTGACCAAATACTCATGAGCAACACTCCACGAGTCTCACTTCCAAAATCAATCCATCCATCCAGCCATCCATCTATTCCGCTGATGATTACTTGATGCCTGACATGCGTGCAGGCCGGATTCGCCGCTGTTCCGCACGCCGCCGAGCGAGGCAGCAGACGCCTTCTACCAGCAGGCGGTCAGCCCATGCTGCTGTGGTGGTGCTGCTGCCGTGTATGTGTGCTTGCATTGACTGCTTAATTAAGCCTCGCACACGTGCACACCCTCCTTCTCATTAGCTCACAAACATACACAAACATACACAAACAAACACACGCACAACATGGTGCACAGGAGGAGGAAGAGTCCCAGACTGCGCCGTCCACTCAGGCGTCATTTGAGCAGTTCCCGCTCGCAGCGACCAGCACCATCGTGAGCAAATGCGTTTTTGTGTGTCGAGCCATGCACGCCACAATGTATTCACATTGTACACGTCTCACTGACACATACACACATCACAACACACATCACAATACACATCACAACACAACACACATCACAACACACAACGCACATGTTCACGCAACCCTCATACCTGTTTGCAGGCGCAGCACATGATACTGCGCGGGCAGAATGCTGTGAGCGACGTGGAGCGTTTTGCAACACACGACAGAAACACAAACGGTGTCAGCATGTGGCGAAATCTCTTTGATAAGGTGCAGCACATGACACTGACGCGAATGATGGTGACGACGGTGCCGATGTATGTTTGTGTGTGATTGTGTGTTTGTTGTTGAAACGTATGACTGCCATTCCAACGTGACCCTGCATGGATATCATCTGACTTACACACACACACACACACACACACATCGCAGAATGGCGTGACCGTGTCTGTGCTTGCAGGCAGCAGCAGCAACAACAAGACGCCCATCTACAAGTGCGAAGGTGCGACCCGTGTCGTGCGCAATTATGTGTATGCGTGTGCGCATGTGTGTGCATGCATTTGTGTTGTGTGCGTGTGCGTGAAATCGTGCGCGTGTCTGTGTGGTGTACACTATCCAACTCTTCTCCTCTCTCGGTTTCCACGTCCTTCCAACCTCTGGACTGCGGGCGAGGACTTCTGTCTCATCTTTATCTCTCTCTCTCTCTCTTCTGCCGCTCCATGTGTTTGCCAGGGCTTGTTTGGTCCTCCCCCGAGATGCTGTTTCGATTTCTGCACGACGACTTTGACGAAGTCTGCGCTCGCTCCTCTCTCTGGCAGAGCATGAAGGTGTGCACATGCTGTGTTGTGTTTGTGTTTGTGTTTGTGTTTGTGTTTGTGTTGTGTGTGAGTGTGTTGCGGTTGTGCTGTTTTCGGTTTGATTTGTTTATACATTTGTGCGGGCATGCGCGCGTGTGCTGACGTTGTCGTGCCAACGCGTGCCAGACGAAGAGAACACTGCCTATGGCTCAACTCAAACGCACACGGACATGCACGCCCCCGTTAATGCGTCTTGTGCTTCCTTGTCTGCCGCCGCGCTCATCACAGGTGCAGCGCACGTTTGACAAACACACGGACCTCGTCCACGTCATGCTCAAGAGCTACATTGCGGTGTGGACACCTGTACTTGTTTGTTTGTTTGTTTGTTTGTTTGTTTGTTTGTTTGTTTGTTTGTTTGTTTGTTTGTTTGTTTGTTTGTTTGTTTGTTTGTTTGTTTGTTTGTTTGTTTGTTTGTTTGTTTGTTTGTTGGTTTGTTTGTTTGCTGGTTTGTTTGTTGGTTTGTTTGTGTGCCTCTGTGTGGGTATGCCTGTGTGTATTTGTGTCGCACAAGTTTGTGTCTCAGACGGCGATTGTTGTCGTCACTCGCCGCACCCATCACTCCATCACCTCATCAACTTCATCGCCAATTGGTCATCACTTCCAGAGCCCGCCGCGTGATTTGACGGTTGTTCGGTCCTGGCAATACAGCGACAACAAATTCACGCTCGCATTCAACAGCGTCGAGTGAGTGTTGTGCGCTGTAGGACTTGTGGCATGCTCATGCGTGTGCGTGCGTGTGTGTGTGTTTTAATTTTTTCATCGTCATGATGGTGCAGCAGCGCACACAGTGCATGAACGAGTGCACGTCTACTGCACCATCTCACACATGTGTGCTCACACACACACACACACACACACACACACACACACACACACACACACACACACACGTCAATGCAGGGATCCGCTTGTGCCAAAGCGCCGCAACTTTGTGCGCGCATACGACCGTACGTTCGCACGGGCCACCCGTTATCTGTATTTGATGCTGTCACATTCACTCGTGCATGTCGTGGCTTGCCCATCATGCTATGCTGCCTGCTTTGCTGTCGTCCCTGCCTAAATGTACGCCTTGTTTTCTTCAGCGCACTCACACACTCTCTCACTCACATGTACACACCCTCTCACTCACATGTACACCACACACACACACTCACATGCTCTCTCTCCCTCTCTCTCCCTCCCTCGCCCGTTTTTTTCACGTAAACACACACACACACACACACACACACACACACACACACACACACACACACACACACACACACACACACACACACACACACACACACACGCACGCAGGTGGGAGTGGGTTTCACTTGCAACGGGTGCATGCAGAGTCGAATGTAACAAAGCTGACGTGTGTGTTGCACATGGATCTCAAGGTCACTGGCATCTTTGCGCCGAGCAAACTCGAAGGGGTCAGTTGCATGCGCATGTGTGTGTGTGTGATTGTGTGGTGACGTTTGCAGTTTTGCGTGTGTGCTTGTGTGTTTGTGCCACCTTGGCGGCAAGACACCTTGTGTGCGTGTGTGTGTGTGTGTGTGTGGTCTCTTCGTTTGAGGGCTTTTTATCCTGGTTTGAGTGCGCCGCTATCGCCCGCGCCCGTTGCTGCGCGCGCGCGTCTGCTCACGGTCGTCTGTGCCTGCTGCTGACTGCCCCATTACGATTGAACCGCCGACAGAAAATCGTTGAGCGAATGAGCCGGATCCACGATGAGATACGCACGGCACTGGAGAGCCGTGCTGGTAGCGCCGATCGTCACGCGCGACACACGTTCGCATAGCGGGTGGGCGTGGGGTGGGCATTGCTGCTTATTGTTGTTGATTGGTCTTCATGCATTTATCATTCCCTTTGCTTCTTCACCTGTTGTTTGTTTAGATACGCCCATAAAACAGCGGAAACAGCGGAAACAGCGGAAGAGCATAGTTAGAGAGTGTGTGTGTGTATGTGTAGACAGGACACGCAGAGACTAACGTAACAGACACACACAGACACACAGACAAACAGAGACACAGAGAGACACACAGACACACAGACACACACACACACACACACACACACACACAGACACACACAGACACACACACACACACACACAGACACACACACACACAGACACACACAGACACACACACACACACACACACACTGTGGCGCACCCCAATTTATGATGTCGGGCACTCATATTGCCCCCTGCCTCTCATTTCGTTGGCGCTTCCCCACCACCATCCATCCCACAACAACGTAGCAGCAAGGACCGGTGCACCACGAGAGGTGTGGTTGTTTGTTGATGGTGTTGGTGTTGTTCGCTGTCTCGTGTTGTGATGCCTGGTGCAGGGTGTGCGTACACATATGTGTGCGTGTGTGTGCAGTGAATAGCACAGTGGTTGTCTCCACTCTGTTTTGTTGCACTGCGTTTGTTTCTTGGTGGCAGTCCAAGCAGTTGTGCGAGTGGTGTCACATCATGTCACACACCCTGAACCATGTTCGACCGTGTGCAGTTTAGCCGTGGTGATCGTGTACATGAAGCAACCAACACCAAGAGCTTGCTTGGATTGGATGTTGACTGCATCTCACAGTCCTGTTACTTCTTTGTGTCTGTGTCTGTACTTCTCTTTTCCGCCTTCCAACGCATTACATCACATCTGACGACTGCAACGTCACACCTGTGCGGACACCGTGTCACGTCTCACAGGTTGACCTGATCTCACGTCGTCGCACAGCAACAAGCAACAGTAGCCAATCCACCATGTCGTCCAAGCTTTGGGGCGACCTACCCCTGCCGCGCCACCTCTTTGCCGGTGCGTTCAGGGGGGTCTTCTGATTCCGTGTTTGATGATGTTTCTGTGGGGTTGTATTGGGTGCTTGTTGTCCTGCGGCTGGCGATGCGCCGGCACTCGTGCTCGTACGTTCATCACGCTGTTGTCCGTGGCACTCGCACTTTTCCATCCAGCAGACTTTGGATCATCATCGTCATCAGCATCGTCGTCATCGTCGCAGTTCGTGGATGGCCATGTGGACAGGCCAAACGCACTCCACCACCCACGAGATCATGAACGTGCGTCCTGTGCATGTGTGTGTGTGTCAAATGAATGCTGTGTTTGTGTATGAACGCTGCGCTTGTGTATGAACGCTGCGCTTGTGTATGAATGCTGCGCTTTTGTATGAACGCTGT